GATAATTGTTTTGCCATAAATGTTACTTCATCTTCTAAAACACAAACTCTATTAAATGATCATTATAATTTTTAAGGCCAAAAATAATGCATAATATTTCCTCTTTAAAAGTAACATGTGGTGACAGATCCCCGCAGGACGATAATAACCAATAGAGAATTAATTTAATGTAATCCAAAAATCATTCTCAAAAGCCTCTCTGTGTAGACTCATGAAGACATTTCCAACTCTAATTACTCTCTTTGGGAATGATATTGATTATGAGGAGCTAACCTACATGTAAAGAGGGTGGCTGTACATTGGCTCCTATTCCTGGAGCCTGTGTGGGAGTCTCCGTGGCAGATGGCAGACTGGACTTAGAAGTGGGGCCACCCTGACAGCAATCAGTGTGGCCAGCTCCTCTGCCTGGACCATCCGTAATTAGTGTTATAGGAAATAAAGCAGCGCGCCCTCAGCTCACCTCCTGATTGGCTGCTGCTTCCCATCCGCTCTGTCTCTGTCCTCTTTTGTCACCGGGAAATGAGTACAAATGGAGCGGGAGGCGAAAGGCTGAGGCAAGGAGCAGCTCTGTGGTTCAGATTGTAATTGTGACTAATATGTCTCTTAAAGGTGCTGAGTGAAATGAACAAGTGTGACGTGACCATTTTCTATTTTGTTTAAATGAACTTTCCAGGCCCCATTTCTGCAATTAAGATAATTTGGTCAAGTTAAAAATGTAAAACAGTCCATCTGCTCCTTCTTTTTCTGCAATAATAAGTTAACCGCTAATGCTGCTACTTTTTTGCTCCTGCTTCTACAACAAACTAGTTCCTTGTATTTCAGTCTGTCATATGTTGAATGATAGGTTGGGTTTAGGTTCAGGGTTGACAAAATTTGACATAACTGACAGAAAATTAATTTAAACCCCTCCCTCTGGTGGTTTAGATAGAAATTTCTCATCTTTGATACATGCTTTGCCACTTGATAAATTGATTACAAAAAAGACATTCCCATCTCTAATGACTCTATTTGGGGTTTTCTTTTGATTTAGATATTATTCTAACAACATTCTATTTACCTCATTTGATATATAACATAACTGACAGAAAAAGGCACAAATCTTGTAAATCATATTTTAAAAAGGTTTTGAATCCAGTTAGGAAGTGTTGTATAATTTGGTAATAGTGAAACTGTATGAAGGATCAAGAGTTTGCATGTTCTCCTGGTGCTCCGGTTTGCCTTACAGCTAAAAATATGTACAACAGGTCCTCTGGCCGTGACCGAGCCGAAAATCAAAAATACCTATTGATACTGTAAATATTAATACCTTGATTTTTTTTACTGAAAGTTTACACACGAGTAACAGACAAGAAGTGAAAGTAAAATCACAACAATTCTGTTATTTTTTCAAAAATAGGAGTACCTGTATGTCTGTCTATACTGTATGTCTCATTGATGTAGGTTTGTATATATGTGGGGAAAAAATGTCTGCTAATTAAAAAAAAATCAGTATGTCTATGTCTTCAAGCTCTATAAATACTTTCCCACAACACTGTATTTCCTTACAGGGACAATAAAGTACAACTTGACTTAATGAAGGCCTTACTGTACTACTTTGCTGCTACCTTTTAACCCATAAAGCAATGTGAAAAGAAAATATATGAGAAGATTAGAAAAACGTTGCTTGCTTGATTTTGCGTGTAATGAACTTCAATGAAAATGACTTTGCATTGTTACTGAAGGCTGCAGAGTTTCAGTTTTGAAACTCTGCAGCTCCCAAAGGTGAACACTGCCTTAAAACAACAGCAATCCAAATGTGAGTCGATAACTAATATTTACTGCACTACTTGTTGTCAAAGTCATGTTTTACTTTAGAGGTTGTTCTCATCTTTGCTTTGAGCTACATTTGAACAAATTAATTAAAAGTGGTTTCCCTCCATCTCTAACAATGTAACAGCTGGAGACCCCCCATGCAACAAAAACAACTTGTAATGAGTTTAGGCCCCTCGCAGAGCTGCTGCTATGACCGTAATTATGCAGTGTACATCTTTGGTCCGGCACGTGGGCACTTATACGCAGATGATTCCCTGCTTGTGCCGGGCTCACCGCAGAGAGAGCAAGTTGACGCCCGGCGTGCACACAGCTCCAGGCATTGCCCTTCCAAATATAGGCCACATCACACTGAGGGCTCTGGGAATAGGGTGGGAGGGGACCAAAACACCAGGGAAAATAAAAGGCTGTTAATGTGTACATGGGATTAGTGCTGCCAAATGACTCAGAGTGGATGGATTATCACAATAAAAGCTGTGTGTTGGGACTGAGAAGGTTAAACTACAAAAACACAGGTCCATATAATGCTCTAATATATGGGCTCAATTAAATAGTGAAATAAACATGGGAAGGCTGCATTTCAGATTCATACTGCGAGAATCTGGAACAATCTTACTGAAAAGGTGAGACAAGCTTTCTTCTTTGATAATGTTCAAATCTAAAGCTTTGCACACAACTGAGGGATTTCATCTTCACTCTTTTTAATGTATGATTTTAGTGCCATGTGTGACTGTTTCTATCTTGCTTTGTTCAGCACTTGGAGTTCCCTTGTGTATGAATTGTGTTGTACAAATAAACTTGCTTTGCCTCGTGTCACTTAGCAGGAAATTCAAGAAAGACCATGATGGACCAACCATATTGTTTTGTCACTGGGCAAGACACTATTGACTGGTGCAGGGCCTGGTTTCCATCAAAGGAGGCAATAATGTTTGTATCCAGTGAACTGGCAGCGATGACTTGTTTGACAAATGGCTTCTGCTGCATATCATTATAAGAGGCTCCTTAAGCAATATGTTCTGCCTGATTTGATTAACAGTGGCACCAGTGGAGAAGAGCAACTCACATGAGCAACAGTTATTGAGTGGCTGCATAGACAATGGAGACACTTTCCTGACTTTCTCATCAGTTAGGCTGAGCAGGCTCAGCAGGCTCAGGATTTACACTCAAGCCACACAATCTTTGTGCAGATTTAACGTCCTTAAAGGCCGCCAACAAGCTTCAGCCATTGTACCATTTCTAGTTCTAATCTGCACTCTACAGATCAGAAGGTTTTTATAGTATTTTCATGCATTTTCAAACATACAGTACACGGTAGAATTAAGTTTTAGGCCACTCAATAGGCTCTTCAATGTGTTTTTATACAATATTTTTAGTATTGATATATTCAGAGGACCCTTGACCTCTGTCAAGTGGTGCAATTCCATGACTAAATAACATCCTTGACCACCTCCAAAATGTAATTATTTGTCCAGTTGTCCCAATGTCTCAAAGTGATGAGAGGGATTTCCATCTGGACCAATTATTAAAGCTTGATTTGTATAAATTAAAGAATATTTATGTCTGACTTCATCAAGGGAAATCATTCCCAAGATCCAATAACTAGCACACTGTGAAAACATAAAAGTTATTTTAAAAAATTAACGAAATATACAACATATAACCTTGCAACGATGTGATTGTATACTGACAGTTAAATAAAAAAGCATTGAATGCATATCCACATGGTTTTGTCTGTTTTTTATTGCGTCCTCCATCTATTACCAAACACACCTTAATCAGGGTGTTCTCTCCTCCTCTTCCTCCTCCTCCTCCTCCTCCTCCTCACTCAGCTCTCAGTGCTCTGGAGCCTCAGCCACACCAGCCTCTTCTCTCCTTCTCCAGACTTGATCCAAAGTGGACTTGACACGTGGTTCAGATGCGTCACACTATCATCTCAAACTGTGGCCAGAGATTACACAAAATTGCTTGTGCCAGAGGAATCTATGGTTTTGTGTTTTGACGCAGCCATTACGCAGCTGCTGTGCCACTCACTAAACACCAATAACATCATATTTCCCACACTGATCATACAGAGCTGATAAACACGCGGCTTTGAGGCGCAGACTGCCCTGATGACATCAGTCAGACAGGTCCAGAGCTCTCGTCTCTGGATCAGCTCAAATCCCTGCTCTCATGTTTCCTCCTCAGCCCCTCAGCCCGGAGCCCATCCCCCCCTGGTGCTGCTGCTGCTGAGGGGAGCTGCCCTGCTAAATTATTGAGCCACAGTCTCTTCTCACTCTAGACTTTTTTTTTTTCTTTCAAATATATACATATATCTTTTTGGAAACTCTCAGGAATGGACCCAGATTGAATATTCTGACGTGTATTGACTGTGACATGTAAGTATTCCTAAGAGAACATATGCTGTGGAATTTGACATGTGAATAGATGAATATTCATAGTTCTACTTAATGATTTTTTTAAGGCACATTAATATTGTTTAAATGTAGCTTAAAATTAATTAAATTCAGTGTAGAGACAAACGCTCCTTCGCTACATCTCCGCCTTAATGAAATATGATGTAATGAGCCGCTAATTTGGAACAGATTTGAGTTTTTGAGCTTTGGGGCTTGTCTTTGTTGACGATGAGGGATTTGGTGCCATCTGCTGTACGTCAGAGGGAGAAAAGAATACAAAACTCACTGAAAGAGCAAGGCAATGTTTTATTCTATTGGAATCCTGAGTATTAGTTTCATAGACTAACAACATTTAAATATTATCAAATAAATGACAGTCTTAAGGCATAATTAATAATGAAATATGAATCACATATAAATGTATACGGGAAAGACTCACAGTGAAGAAATGTTATAAACAATATTTTGGAAAAGTAAAATCCCTCATCACAGAAATCCATCAGTTTCTCATCATGATGGACATAAAAGTAATGTTTGAAAACATAACAGTGTTTAAACCTTCAGAACATTCTTTAAGAGCGTGGAACTGGAAGCAGCAAATCCCCTTTAGTTTAGTGCAAACTTAGATTCAAGCTAAAATTACAGGCGAAATCATCCATTACACACGTCCCTTCACAAAATGGCTTTAAATAGACGTCTACAGCGTTAAGCAAAGACAAATGCATACTAAAAATTTTTATAAAATAAATTGGTATTAAATAAAATCTCATCCTGTGCGTTTGCTACATAGAAGTGTTAATCGTTGGAAGCTGCAGGGTTCAAGTCTTCCTCAGGCTGATCGGGGGTCAGAGGGTCAGAATGGTCCTGGTCCTGGTCCTGGTCCTGGTCCTGGTCCTGGTCAGGCAGACTGTGGTCACACAGAGCCTCTTTAGTGACTGTGGGCGCAGAGAGCTCGTCTCCTGTGCTCAGAGAAGCATCATCCACGTCCGAGGCCACGTCCGCCTCCTGCAGCTCCGACTGCTCGTCCTTCTCTGGAGACGAAGGCCTTGGGTCCGATGAGGAGTTTTCTACAACACAAAGGTTTAGGATAAAAGAGAGCATTTAGTCATTGTCAATATTGTAATTAATCATGGAAATTGTATCATATGTTTAGGGTATGTTTTTCATAATTGTCTTTCTTGTACAATAGAAACCCCTATTATAACATCTCAGAAAAAAAGGAAGTGTAAGCCATAATCAAGATCATAACAAAAAACGTATTGGCATATCTATCAAATGTAATGTGTATGATGGGGAAAAATGGGTATATTTATGCAATGTCTTAATGATAGCAAAATCAGAATATTATTCAATCAAAAACTTTATAAAATCATTTATCATTTCAAAGTCACATTTGTATAATAATATAATAATGGATTCCTCTGGAGCAACTATGACCTGAGGCTTTGATTAATAAAATTCTCACCGAGGCTTAACTGATCGCAGGAATCGGCATCTCCATAATTTACAAACATGGAGCTGTTTCCCAGGTGAACCGTGGACGCCGTGTCCGACAAATCTGGACTGGTCACTTCAGGCAAGATGGACGTATCTGTGAACGGCAAAACACTGAAATAAATACAACCATACGTGACGGATTTTACCACTGCCCTGTTTTCAAAGAGCGAAGTTTGATATCAGTAACTGTCCTGTCAACATCATTCTTTTGTCCACAACATATTTCGGCCCTGGTTATGACATCGACTGGTAAAAATTGGGTCGCGTTCATGTGACAACACAACAGAGCAAAGAGCCGATTGTTCCAAACCGTGGTGGAGATCAAAATAAATATGGTCATTAATCTCAGAGCAAATGTCTCCGTCACAATCCACATGAAACACAAACAAATCCTCTTCTGTCAGTACTTATCAACTATAGTCCAATTATTTTCTCATAAAAAGGTGTCTAGAAGCTGTGACACTTTTCAAAAACATTTGCATGATGTTGGTCTGCAGGAAGGGCTTTGTGAATCCAATCATTATCAAATGTTCTGGGACAGGGTTAGGGTGATGACTCATTTTGGTCAAACTCTGAATAAAAAGACAAGGAACTGATTGTGATTTCATTTTCTTATAATTGTTTGTTACATTCTGAAGGTATTCTGAAATAAATCTTAAAAAAAAAAAAAGTTTATTGTTTAGATTTAACCAAACTGAATCAAATATAAAGTTATACATTTGGGTTGAAATTTAAGAATACATAAAATCTGTCTGTTTTCCTGATGGCATAATGCAATAACGATCAATGCTGCAAGTTATTGATAATAATTCAATATCATTTTAGGGGCCACTAAACATTGTCTCGACCCGATTTGGCCCACAAGCCTGAATGTGACCTGCCTGAAAACAACAGGACATTCTTTTTCTTTTTTTTAAAAATCTCTTTCAAAAATTGCTTCTTTCCAACAGAGATGTATTGACACCAGCCCTCCAACTGAAATAGAACCGATTGACCACAAAATCTAGACATATCTGTATCAGCTGTCAGAAAATCCCTATCTGACCATCTCAAAACGTCTATTTATATAAACGTTTTCCGATTGTAGTAATAGTCTTTGTGTGTCTCACCAGAAGTCGTGTTCTGATCTGTATGAAGAGGTAGGTTTAAGTCTTCTTTCATCTGTTTTACTTCGACTTCGCTGATTTCAGAAGGCACCTGGAATGAAAGCAACGCGTTCTTACCCCTCAAAAAGTAGCAAATATATTTCTCCAATGTTTTTTTCCGCAGGTACCTCAGTGTGATCGTGAGAAACAGGCTCTATCTCCTCAGCGTCATTCTCCTGCAGATGTGGCTCCTCCTCCGACGTCGGTAGAACTGGCAGAGTCGGGATGCGGTGCAAATAGCCGTAACCAATACCACAGCCGAGGCTAATGGAGATGAAACGAATACTACCAAATACTGTGGTGGAGAATGTATTATAATTCAGATAAATCCATACCTGCCCTCTCCTCCCCAAGCACCGTTTGGAGTCACCACCACTTCTCTGCATTGGTTGGTTTGAATGTTGTAAACAAGTAATTTCAGAGGTTTTCCTTCATTGGCTTCAATCAAAGAGTAGAAATCCTCAGACTGAAAGCAAAATAATAATAACATCAGAAATATTCTTTGAGGCGCACTTGAATCGCCTGTTGAAAAGTTACTATTTCAGGGACATAGGAGGATATATAACAGTATAATGCATGTGTTATTAGTAATCTTTATTTATATACCGCCTTTTCACTGCACATAGGAGTCTCAAAGCGGTTTACAATTGTTATTTTTTTTTTTTTAGGGCATTTGTCTCTCACTCCACACAGAGATGGGAGCGGGGTCGCCAGTACAGGAGGCGCATGCCAGACCTATTGTACATATTTTTAGTGGTAGGGGAAACCGGAGTACCCGGAGGAAACCTACGCAGACACGGGGAGAACATGCAAACTCCACTCAGAAAGGCCCTGGTCCAACCGGGATTCGAACCCAGGACCTTCTTGCTGAGAGGCAAGAGTGCTATCCACTCAGCCACCGTGCCGCTAATAGCAGAGTTATTATCTCTGCTATATGCACTGAGAGGCAGATCGGAGAGCGATATCTCTATGTATCTGAATATTTGAAAAACAATCTGATCACGATTCAGTATGTTACCGGAATAGATCAATAAATAATGTATCATAGAATATACTGTACATCCCACCAAATGGCAACAAGGGGCTGTCTCCTCTGACTTTGGCACATTGTCTTTGGCTAAAAAAATGGACAGATATACTTTGTGAAATCCCGAACCTTCTAAGAGTTCAATGGGACATGGATCATTCTCTGTCTCTTCTATTGGGACTGGAAAGCCAACGCATCATGTCGAGTATCAAAAACAGACTGTTCTGCTTTCACGATCGCTGCCAGGGAGAATATTGTATGGCAGTGGATCAAAGAAAAGGGTCCTACTTTAAAGGGCTGGCAGCGAGCTCTACAGAGAACATGGCACTAGTGAAAACCGGATCCCTCGGCTACTGCAGTTTCATTTGATTGAGGAAGGCGCATGTAAACCCTGTGTGCTTTGGTTGAGCTGCGGAATCCCTGTCCATTTGGAGAAACTGGATCAAACCATTTCTGCTTCGTTTACACTGGGATGAGAGACTGAGAGACAGGGCCAGAGGAAAAGCTGTAGTTATTATAGAAATGGACGCATATAGGCTTACTCACTATTTTGTCCAGGCGTTAAATTGCATTGCAGAAATTAAATGATTTGCTGCTTCAGTTGAGCATGTGGCAAAAATCCAATTCTCACTGTAAACAGGTGTTGCTGGATTTTTGACACAATGTATTTGCCAAACGTTAGCTTAGAGAGTATCCCGTTCAATGTATTTTTGTATAGCCCTAATTCACCACAGCAGTCGTTCCGGAGGACTTTACAAAATTGTTGCTTTTGAAAATGTGGTTAGACTGGTTTGAACTGGTATGGACTGGTATGAACTGGTATGGACTGGTATGGACTGGTATGGACTGGTATGGACTGGTATGGACTGGTATGGACTGGTATGGGGATAGCGGCTGTTTAAGTTGCATACGCCGTATTCTTATGCTTTAGAAACGTATTCACTGGAGTTCAAACAGTGCGTGTTAGTGTGCCTTGAGATGTTGTTTGTTTTGCCTTTGGAAATGAACAAATATCAGCTCATTGGTCAAAAAAATGTGAAAACGAAACAAGATTAGTAAGCCTCTTTTTTGCTTGTTTGATTTGATCTACCCCTAATAAAACATTATACATGTCTAATACACGGCAGCTCTGACTCATATTCCGAGGAGTTTCTTAATTATATTGTGTTGCATGTTTGTAACCCTTTGTGTGTTGTAACAAGTCAAAATAATGTGACATAACTAACCTCCTGCAGTACCTGGTCAGCTCCCACAATGTAGTCGTCAAAAGCAATGAGTCCGGCCAAGGCAGCGGGCGAGTTGTCCTCCACATCCTACACAAGAAAAGCTCTTTTGTTAAATATAGAATGTTTTGACCGACTTATGTTATTCAAATTGTGCAGATTGGACAAACAGATTTGGCAATTTATAATGCCAAAGTTAGAAATTTTATACTTGCTTCTTTATAATGCTAAAGTTAGACATTTTTATTTTATTTTATTGCGTTTATTTCTTGTGTTCTGTGCTTCTCATTCCCACTGGTCTGTAACTTGTGATGCAACACTGAAATTTCCCCTCTGTGGGATGAATAAAGGATCTCTTCATCTTAATCTGAGCCGGGCTGACACCAGAGAAAGCCCATTTGAAAATAACCATTAATCATTAAAACCAAAGGTCAACCGTTTATGTCATGTCATGTTTGCTTTGGCTCGGCTCCACACTCACCAGGACATGCCACACGTTCTCGTTGGCCCCGTCGAAGCTGCAGAAGCGGACACTGGCCCCCAGCAGGCCCTGACCCCCCCACATGTTACTGGGCGTCACCTCCAGCTCCCTCACCCTCTGAGACTTGGAGTTGTACACTTCCAGTTTGACCGCTTTCTCCACATTGGCCTTTAGAAGATCTTTGAGTAAGTCACTTTCCTTATTCTAGAAAAAAAGAACGTACGTTTTAACAACATAACCATTAGCAAATTAATGTACAACCAGATTGAATTTTTTAAATCTTCAATAAGAATAGTCTTAGTCTAAAGTCTAAAACTACACCTGATTCTGTCACTCTAAAACAATAATCACATAAATACTACTTATATCAACTTCAATAACTGATGGATGGACCACTGTATTATGGAACTTGATATTGATCATTTGTACATTTCTTTGCTAATGTGGAGAGATAGTTGCCTTTGTAAATTATTATTATTATTATTATTTTCAAGACAGAGATTTTCTTCTCACTGTATTATTGATGCTAGAGTTAGAGTTTTTGTTTTATTCTAATTAGTATAGAGCTATTGTTCACTTAACTTGTGCCGTGTGAACCTCTTCCCTACTGTCCTACAACTTGTGAAATTTCCCAACTGTGGGACAAATAAAGGATCTTTTAATCTTAATCTTAAAATTCTAAAGTTTTAGCTGTACAAGGTTCAATAAGAAAAGTCTTAGTTTATTTATTTCTGTTTAATCAATCTTATATGTTTTATGTAGTTTCATCACTGACTGTTTCACATCAAATTTCTGAATAAAAAGAAAATAAATCTGGTGCCTGGTGTCTAATTTTCAGTGGATTTTCATATATGCAGAATAACTTGCATTGTGGACTATTGTCTTTTATATATTTTTGAATATTACTTTCTTAAATCAAGGGCAAAATTTTGTCAGTGAATATTGTAATTCTTTCTATGTTACATGTTTGCAGTGTAGTAGATGTATCTTGCGTCCGACTTTCATAAGAGGATACCGTAGTAACTGTAGTATGTGTTGTCATTGTTTACAGACTGTCTCTTAAACACACTCACCAGTCTTGTGTTGCCAATAGACAGAATGAAGTCAAAGAAAGGCTCTAGTCCAGCCTTCAGAGCAGGGGAATCCTGTTGGACCTGCAACACCAAGATCCTCATACACCTTTGATTGGATTAGGATTCAGGACTAATGAACAACACTGCCCTCGTGTGGCGACAGTGCGTATGACACGTGGAACCGGATACCTGAATCTCGATCCTTCTTTGCCTTCGTGAATTGGGTTAATCAATTAAAGAGGTTTAACAAAATTACACGTTAGTACTATTTTCCAACTCCAAAAAGCTTCTGGTCTGTGTTCTAGCGATTTTTAGTTTTAATATATGTGGCGAATCGAATGCCACCTCATCACAAGTCGATTTAGTGTTATCTTGCAAAAACATGGCAACAGTGAGTTTTTTGTGCATTTTTTTGTAACAATCGCATCGCATTAATACTTTTATTCGTACGGTATTAATATTAAACATGTTCCCGGGTGCGATCGTAACATTTAGCTTCTTCAAACTGTCCCATCGGAGCTTGCACTCACCCCATGGACGTGGTATCCGCTGTTATTTCCCGAGTCCAGCAGGAAAGAGCTTTGAGACAGCCCCATAGTCTTACACTGTTATAACACCGCCAACAGGACGTGGTGGAGGGGTTTCTCGGGCATCACCGGCTCTGCTCCCCGGGTTATACAGTGTGGCTGAGGCTAGTGGTGCTGTAGTGCTGTCAGAGGGTGTAAGGCCTGAGTAATAGATAAAGAGACCACAAACATCGAACTGCACCCAGCCACATGTCTGTCCCAAGACACAACACATCGAGCACAGAGAGATGGAGCGCAAGGCTGCATCCAGATTCACAAGAGAAAATGGCATTTGTATAACACAGTTCCCGCACAAAAACAAAAGTGATGAACAAAACAAGCTCGAACCAATCATCCAAGGCATCAAACTCACAAATAATCACAGAAAATTCAAAAAGAGAAAAGATGCTATTCTTCAGCAGTTTGCGCAGATAAATAGAACTGTTTTTACCCTGGATTTGAACATTTGAACACGGGTCTCGCATTTTCGGGAAGACGTGCTGCCTTCCCATGTTCGGGCCTGGCTCGGGCACCAGCAGGAGGCCCGTCCCTGTGCTCCTCAGAGTCGAGTTGGTTGATATGGCTCCAGAATATGTGTTTTTTATGTTATGTACCCAAGGTTTTGTGGGGATGCTTTGATCTGGATTTTTTGTTTCCGGTTCTGATCCCGATATTAACCGTTAAAAACCGAAAATGACCTAACTTAGCTATTTTTTCAATAGACTAACTCTATACAGCATGCATTTAAGGGGAGCTATCGGACATTCTGGGCCAACATTGTGTTATTAAATCAGTAGAGCCGATTTCCCAACAACATTCACTCAAATTGAAATGTAATAACTTAATTCAGTATTGTCTATTGGCAAAGTATAAGCTACATCCACTACATGTGAATACTTTGAATGAACCTTATACATGTAATAAAAAAATACATAAAACAGGGACTATTCCAACATTGTTATTTCTATTCATTTGGATAGTGTCAAGAGAAGTATTTTTCTTTTCACATGTGGCATTGCTTACTTTGGAACTGAAACAATAACATCTGCCTCTTTCCCATCACTGATAAAAGAATAAAACATACAGAGCCGATGCTTAATTTAATTTCTTAGAAGAATAGACGCAATAGAGGATTTTATATGAAAGTCCACAATACAGTATATATCCATTTAGTCAGGCATCTCTGAGTAAATGGATATATATCTGTAACCGTCCTTGTGTGGACTCCCTGCATCTGGCTTCCATCCACATGCCACACCTGCTGATATTGGCTCTTTTACCAAACTTAGTGAAATCTTCCACTCTCTCTGCTGCTTGTATAAATAGACCTAGTTCAACCCATGTTTGTCCTCCAGTCCTCACAATGACTTGGTTTGTGGCTTTCATATTCTGCCTGGGTAAGCTGGCTTTATTGTCTACACATGCAACACAACATGTATGGACATTTATCAGAACTCATTAAACTTACGACCAATAGCAATGTGTTTTATGTGTTATTGTTTGAACGATTTGATTCTCTGATCTGTGTTGACGAATTTTAAAAAGTTTTGTAAAGTTCTCTGAGATAACCTTGTGTTGTGATTTAGGGCTGTACAAAACTAAAATGAATTGAATTGAATATGTATTGATTATTTGACTCTATTTTCTTTGGCCTCTCTGTTTTCCAGGGCTGGTCAGTGCAGAGCCAGCGTTTGACCATAGAGTGCACAATGACAGGGTGATTGGGGGAAATGATGCCCGGCCAAACCAGTGGAAGTGGCAGGTATGATCCTCCAAGCGTGTGCGTTCATATCATATGTACTGTACATACTTTTCGATCCCTCTGTTACAGGTGTCTCTGCAGCTGGATTCCTACAATGATGGTTCCTTCTATCACATCTGTGGGGGCACAATCATAGATGCTTACTACGTTGTGACGGCCGCTCACTGTATTCTCAGGTTTCCTCTGGAGATTTTAAACACACTCGCATTTGCAGAGATAAACGGCGCTAACATGACATGACATTTTGTCCTTCCAGCTCAGACGCTCACAAGTACAGGGCCGTATTGGGGGAGTATAACTTGGCCATTCTTGAAGGCAGTGAGCAGTTTCATCGTGTGGAAGCCATTTTTGTGCACCCGGCTTGGAACGGACAACTTGGCCTTGGGTAAATTACTGATACAGAAAAGTGTCTGGACGGATTGAACTGTTGAACATTTGGTCATGCTACAGCCATTGTTTTTCTTTTTAAATGAAAGACCACAATGAAGAAATAAAAGTGATACATGCGTTTAGTTTTTAAAGAAAATAAAAGGGATAGGATAGCATTTCGGAGCTTCCCATGCTTTGAACATCTCTGTTTACTTATGGGCATGCAAAGAGTGTGGAGCAACTACCAAGACTGGGCTGTCTGCCCAAATTCACCGCTTCAACTATAGGACAACACTGATCACAGATCAGGCCATCGAAATTTGCAGCTCACTTGGAGTTTTCTGGACATACATAATATTAGTCATAACTACACCAATCTGGCCTTTATGGATGAGCTGTAAATATAAAACCAGTGTTGAAATGCAGCTCGCGGAAATTCAATTTGGAAGACGTCAGCCAAAGCCACCCCTTCCAGGCCGGCCTCACAGCCCCAGCCTATCGCCCTCTTCCAATCAATCCGTGACGGCCAGGCCAGCCGCTTAAAAGCGGAGAAACTCCCACTCTCGGCCTTCTCGAAGCCTTGCAACCACCGCCTCCCCTCCTCCTCCTCTTCACCCTGCCTCCAATCTGCTTCCTGCTGCCAAATGCCGCCACCAGTGCCTAGGTCCCGGGGGATTGTGCGCGCACTCTCGCAGGAGCCTCGCTGACTGAACGCCGCACCGGGGCCTAGGGCGCCAAACTACCTCTCAATAAAATACTTCAAAGGCATTCTTGTTTCCTCGTCTCTCCAGATTGAAATAAAGTTGTAATAAGCAGATACTGAGAAGACCAAACTGTAACCTTTTACACTTTTTACTCCAAATGAAAATTGTTATGTGTGGCTCAAATCTCCCTCAGTGCACTTTCTCCATAGTGTCAGATATGGGGCAGCCTCATGTTACCACTGGGAAACAGGTAACAAAGGTGTGGGGCTGCTTTTCTTCAGGGGGAACACGGAAGAGTCTCAGAATTAATAGGAACGTGGATGGAGCAACATACAGGTCATTTTTGCATGAAAAGCTGGGGATCCACATTTAACTCATGCTCAAAAATGGTTATGCTTGTGGTTGTAACATGATAAAATGTTAAAGTTGTAACTGTTCCGACACGGCGGCAAGTCCCTGTGCATGATTATGAAATGTTTTAAAATATTGTAGGTGTTTCTGTGTCCCTACAGACACGACATCGCTGTTTTGAGATTGGCTGAGTCGGTGTACGACAATGGTTACGTTGCGATTGCGAACTTGCCTTATCCTGGACAGATATTGCCTCATGATTTTGAATGCTTTGTCACCGGCTGGGGCCTGACAGACTGTGAGTTGATCTAATAAAAGTAGTAAAAGCTGTATTAGATAGATAAGTGGATGAGTAGATTGTTGTTTGCAGTTGGAGGCAGTGTTCCTGACATTATGCAGGAGGCTCCCATCAGGGTGGTGGAGCACGCCGTCTGCTCTCAGCCCAACTGGTGGGGCAGCCTGGCTCGGGAGAACATGATCTGCACTGGAGGAGATGGTGTCATTTCAGGATGTCAGGTACTCTACCGTTATCATAAACAGAATGTGACGTCCAAATCCTGTGACATCATGAACATTCATAACTGATCAGAAGAGTGACATCACTTGGCTCTAAACAGTTTGGTTCTGGTTTGCTATAACTATACACACACATGTATACACGTACACATGCATGTATAGTTTGGCTTTTAGCCTAGGTAAGTTTTTCAGAAGAAAAGCCGCAAAAAGAGATCACCCTCAGTTATTCAGCTCAGCCCAAAGCGTCCAATAGTGACTTTTCCTTACCGATGCAGGAGGGTCTGTGCTGTGACGTCTAACTAAAAGGACAGTGGTGATGATCCAAGACACTCAACATTCAACAACTTTCATGAACATTTATCACCCCTTACAGACATTGGTCTGCCCCTTATGGACCAATTCCAATGTGTTTTCTGATTTATTTCTTGTGTTTGATTCTCTGATCAAAAGTTCTGTGAAATAACTACTGTTGTGATTTAGGGCTGTACAAGAATACATTGAATTTAATTAAAATTGAGAATGGCATAAAACTATTAGTTTGTTAAGGTGTGATTTTGGCCCTCTGCCATGTCCCAGGGTGACTCCGGGGGCCCCCTGGCCTGTATCACTGACGGCGTCTGGAGGGTCCATGGTGTGGTCAGCTATGGCCCAGCTGGTATGTGCAACCAGCTCCGAAAGCCCACTGTCTTCACCAGAGTGTCGGCCTTCATGGACTGGATGTATTCGGTATGTATTGGACCAAAGTCAGCGCTGACACTGAGGCCGCTGCTGATGTGTCCTTTTGTGTTTCAGGTGATGTATTAAGATCAGTTTGATTCAAGCATCAATAAAACTGAAACTATTTGAGTGGTCTTCAGGAGACTTTTTATTGGCTTTAGATTCATAAAACTGTGAGAAAAAAATAAAAAATATATACTATATATTATGTATGTATACATTATTTGACCTTTTCTGAATACAAGTTTAAAGTGGAGTCATTCTTAATTGAAAATACAACCCTAAAGTTCATAATAATTACGTTCAAGTAGATTATCCAATCAGAGAGCAGAATGGATCTCTCATTTGTGTTCCCAGTTTCTTAGGTTAAAAATGGCTGATTTAGCTATGTCATTGTTGAAAACATCAAAATCACAAACATCAGGTATTTAAATGAAAGCAGGTACAACAATAAGTATTCATTTGTAATACACACAGTGTGTTCTGTTTCTATGTAAACTCCAGCAGGTGGACTGCATCAGCAATAAGTTCATAGGATCTACATGTGTCACATTCAGATGATTCTGGCAACAAAAGGTCAGAAAGAGATAACGTGCAGTCCAGTTAAGTGCTGCAGTTATTGTTTTGGTCAACAGATGACGCCATTGTTCCTCAAATAATCTCTACAAATATTATGTACTGACTGATACACACCATTGACACCAATTCCAAATACATATATACACAGACTGAATATATTTCAGAGATGTTGAAGGTGAGTATTCTGTCCAGATTTCATTATGATCTACAAAGGTACACTTTATATTAATTCAATAAAGTTGAATCTAATCTAATCGATTATGCAAAATTATCAATGTACAATGAATAAAAGCACACCTTAAAACAACAAGAAAAAGTGCATAATTTCCAACAGAACCGTCAGATCCTTCAATTTCTAATAGGATAAAGTACTTAGTAAAATGGAGGATTTTTGTGTGAATGCTCTCAACTTGTGTATATCCAGTGTACACTACAAACCATGATTTTCACTTCACTGTCTTCTTCGGGGCAGTGGATGTCATTGATATATCACCAGAGGATGGCCACCCTCATTATTCATGGTTTTCATGTGTCTCACTCATAGACTGAAGTAGGATATTACCATTATTTTATTACTAGTGGTTTGGCTGCAGTTCTAAGGGTCACATGACCAACACAAAACTCCAGAGAATGTAAACAGCGCAACACAAGACTTTTACAGGTGCCTGAAGAATCTTTCTATATCTTTAGATGTCAAAGCAAATAAAACAAGAGCAAATATTTTTAGAAAACATTTTATTTGGAGGGACAGGCTGTCAAAATGGCTTAAATGAAAGAAATTGTTTTGAACAGCAGGTTAATGTGTGAGTATGTAAAAAATAAAGCAGCTTTGTTTGCTCTGCAGGACCATTCAAGCAGAAATATGTACAACACAAAAGGCATCAAAGTAAGACACTGTTTGAAAATGAAACTGCTGTACTGTAATACATTACATTGATAACACTCACTGTTGCCATGTTCTTCAATCTTAAACGATGTTTTGTACAAGAGGAACAATTTCTGTGCCCATTTTATGGCAAAACACATTTTAAAGTAATCAAAAAGGCAAAAAAGCGAATACATTTCCATTGTTTTCAAAGTATACAATGAATCAGAAGAGTTGAACAAACGGGACCTGCATGCATACGTCTAAAGGGTCCAGCGGCTGAAAAACAGCTGTAAGAGTGAGATATGTACATCGACTCAACACTTCAGCCCTCCTCAAGAATCAGGCAACGCTTTCATGGTCAAGCTTTTGTACATGATAAAAATTGTATAATATATGCAATTTTCACCCACAAAAAACTTTGAATTCATAACATTGTAACCCAAGTCACAGACTTCCAGAACTTCAGAATACAATCAAATTGATCTTTGCAAATGATTCTTTTTTTAATGGCATTTGAACATATCAAAGTCTGCCTATGAAAATACTTCAGACTTCGAGCTATCGCCTTCATACATAAATGTCTCTATAATTCATATACTTTATTACAAAGGTTGTCCCAAATTGAAAATTATTCATTAGTCTCTTAATAAAATATTACATTTGTCAGTGATTAGAGTTTGTGTTAATCTACATAAAATCAGTTACAAAATATTAGTTTATTTTCTATGGTTACAATAGAGGCAGCCATTTAATAATAGACCCAAACTTTAGTTTCAGTGATTAGGGAGATTCCACAGTTTTCAGTCCCAAAGCTTAAGTGGAAGCCCTGTGCACAGGCCAATGGCAGGCGTGGCTCCCTGAAAACAGGCACATCCAGTAAACTTCACTACAGCCCATGTTATTGCCAAAGGTATAAATTAAATTACTACTGAAATGACATAATAAATTATACAAATGGTAAATGAATACGAGAATAGATATTAAATACTTGGACTTGTGGTCCCATTTCCCATAACAATGCATTGATGTCATTAAAAAAAAAGGTAAGAAGGATTGCACTTAGAGGTGAATATCAAACCACAGTGCTTGGTAAATGAAAATAGGCTTTAACTGAAATAAATACAAATTAAATCATGGAGGAAAATAACTTATTATTAAAGACAAAACAGCTACAGCTTCTATGGTATGAGTGTTATTTCTAGTTCCCCGCATTAAAACCGAATCCACCTCACACAACCAAAACAATGCCTATTGATACACGAGTCTGCTCACAGATAAAGTGCTGATTGAGGAGCTTTCTGATGGACTTCTGTACCATACGAAACCTGGACAGCATGAGGAACACGGCCCATTTGAACACAGCAAAGACCGCCCCCTTCAGGCTCTTCAGAGTAAGCACTGAGACAGGAGCACACACATTGGACTATGTTTGCGGTTGGACTCGGTCTTATTAAAAAGGCCATCACAGCGATGCTCTCCGTACATTGCCTCCAAAAGCTAGAAAGCTAGAAAAATATCCCTGAGGTGCACATTCAGCTGTGTTGCCTCCTGACATGGTTTTGTTTTCGTCAACTCTTGTGGTATAGAATTTGGTTTAAAAGAGCATTCTTAGGAATTGTTACCATCATTGGTTTTTCAAGGACCATGTCAAATTATACATGTTTACCACTGACACAGCAATACTCCCACACGCTTTACTAACATTTGAAGGCAATTTGAACATTTTAGGCAATAGGGAATCACAGCTTCCTCCACAAACCACTTGTTATAGACATCAGTTATCTCACTGTGTGCATGTAAAATTCGCCTCTGACAAGTTTGTTTCCTTGCTTGTTTGAGTTAAACTTTCACAGATTCCATCACAGACAACTTCATGGCTTCCTCCAACAGCTGATTGTCTGTAAAAGTGGCAGGGGGCTCGGGGACGGACTCTGAAAGGCCAATGAGCGACTCGAGGAGGCAGGTCCCGGGGTCCGAGGCCGCGGGGAGGCTAGGGTAACTAGGCAGCTGGAACTGAAAAAACGTGTCCATGTGTTCGTACTCCTTCAGTGAGTTGTAGAGCGAGCTGGGCCCAAGGCAGGGGAAGCCGTCAAAGAACTCCAGGTCTGACTCAGAGGACAGGCTCAGGTCCATGTTGTAGCTTGCCGAACGGTCCACCGTGGGGGACGGGGTGCGGGGAATATTGCCGCTGTGGAAAAGAGTGTTTTCCTGGTTGGCATTCTCATCTATGAGTTCTGAAATGGCTGTAGCTCGATTGTCAGTCTGTTCAGAGTCCAACAAAGCAGAGTTGATATTGTCATTTTCATCCGCAAAATCTGCTATGCTAAAGCTACCAAAGGCCTCAGTGGAGGGCTGCTGCTCGATGCCATTCCTTTTGCATTTGGAGCAGCTCTGTGTGTTGGTGAGACTCGGCACTCGACAGGAGCCTCTCTCGTCTGTGTCCATCTGTGAGCAGCGGTCACACGGCCGCTCCCCCGCCTCAAAGTCCTCGCTCTGACCTGACGAGTCTGATAAGTCTGTCATGTCACTGCTACAGCTGTTCTCCTCCACAGCAGACAGTTCCGACCCAAATGTGAATGAGGGGGCCATGGATATGGGGGACAGGGGTTTGCGAGTGAGGCTCGGAGGGTTGCTGTGTACAGGGGTCCCCTGAGGCCGCCTGCTCTCCTCGTCTGAGCTCGACTGCTCCTCCAGTCTCTTCTCCAGCTCCAGCTTCATGATTGTGTGGATGTAGTGCGTCTGGACCCTGGTGGAGTTGAACTCGATACGCCCCTGCGTGTTTCCACAGCCGTCTTTTGTACAGCCACAAGGGAAGGAGGAATGATCCATCTAAAAATATATAAACATTCTGTGTCAGGTTATTTTGAATGGTTTTTACAGAAAGAATACTCTCAGTAAAAAGCCCAGATGTTAAGCAGCACTGCACTTAGATCCTCACCTGACATTTGATGCCTGCCAAGCTGCAGCCACAGGTCTCTGGTTCACAGAAACCCTGACAGTCACAGCCACAGTTTTCCCTGGAGAGTCGGAGCTCATGCAGCTGCCTCTTCTCTTCCTTGTCGATCTTCTTCACCCCAGCCGCTTTGAGCAGAGCATAGCGCAGTTTGGACGTGTACGGAAGCACAAAGGAGCCCTCCTCCAGGTTAGCACCGCTCAAGTCAAGATCCTGCTCAGAGATGTCGTCCACAGTCAGCCCCTCTGCTTCCTCACTCTCCTGAGTCCCATTTTTAGTGAGCTGGAACGAGCAAAGACAAGGTGTTATTGATTATACTATGCAGAATTATAATTAATGCTTTTTGAATAATATATACGGTACTCCAGCTCACCTTTTGCTTGAGAGCCTCGAGCTTCTCCTGTTTCAACCTGTAGAGAAGCTTTTCTCGTCGCAGTATCTTCTGCTCAACAGCAAACTCTGCAAGTGTGTAAGTGCGGAGGTCACTGTGCCGTGGGGTCATTCCCAAAGTGCATCCTCCGCGGCTGGGAACGCTGGTGAAGCCTTGGCAGCGAGGGAAGAAGAAGACCGTGACCTGGTCAAAGGTCACGTTGGCTCGCCGTGTTCTCTTGGTTTTCTTCAGGATAGACGTTGCTGAGGAAGAAAATGCACATTAGTCAAGGTACTGCATTATCCTTATGAAAATCACAGTTGCAGTTTGTCATTTGCACCACCAGAGAGTGCTGTGTCTTCTATGTTGGAGCTACTAGGAGAACTGTAAATGGACACCCCTCTGATTCATTGCTCTGGTCCTGGACCAAACCTTATCGCATACCCAATTAAAACTACTGCTACCAGGAGTACAACACACTTACATCCTGTAAAATGAAACCCAAACCTCAGAGGCTATTCCGCTTGTTACTGGCCGACTGTGCATCACAAAGCACCCAGACCAGGAATTTCCCCATAGCGGCTAGTACAGAGGAGGAGGAAAAGCTGTTACAAACTAGGGTGTAAACTGTCAGAGCTTACGAAAAGGCTGAGGCCCGGGCTGTCCCAGGACAGAGAGGAGAAAGTGCCCACACTGGTCCCATGGCTGCAGAAAGTCCCTCTAATGTTCCAACAACAAAGTCAGAAGGTAGGACCATTCTAATCTACTCTGTAATAATCCATCTCACTGTAACCAGGGAGTCCAATAAAAGCATATGGGAATAAAAGAGAACATGTGTTTGTGGGAACCAGCCCAGCAAAAACTCAATTTAATATAAATTCCTCTTCCAACCGCAAGAATATTCATCACTACTTTAGCCCCAGTGGAGGCCGGTTTTTCCCTTCACCTAATTTGCCAGAGGGCCTTTATGAAAACAAGAAATAATCCCTCAAAGCATGTGTTGGAAAATGTTCATCATTTGTCTCCACCTCTGTTTTTACCATTTGCAATACACCCGGAATGGTTTTCTTTCAGTTAATCCCAACATGCTTTTAGTTTTAATACAGCTGAGAGCCTGACACAAAAGCTGCCCTGTGTTTCTTGTCTCCACTAAATCTAATACTATACAAAGTGCCACCTTCAGCAAACATCAATCAAATCCAGTGAGGCTAATGACAGACGCAGGAGACAAATGATACCTGCCCGGCTGCCTCCAAATGGGATGAGAAAGGATTTACGGGCTGTTTTTCCTCTTTATTGAACAATGCCAAAACGTTCTCTGTCCCAACACAAGCGGGGGATTTTAATGACGCACAAAATCCGACGCCTCCTTTTCTTGATTGTCCTACCCCGCTTCTATCCGCACCTGTGTTGGGTGCGAGCCCGGGCTCCAGACAAGGCGCTGTTGTGTTCCCAGCTTTGGCCCAGTGCCACACTCTTTCTCCTGCTGGCTGAGCGCCCTGCCATCCTGGAAACCTCAACACCGTTTACCCTATTCCCTTATGAGCCGACCCTTTCACCTGAGGGTACAGTGAAAGACAGACAAACACACAGACCGGAAGAAGTGGCTGGATGAGAGTCCCTGTAGGAAACGTGCGCCGGTGAAAGTCAGGAACTAAGATGCTAGGTGAGCAGCTGTTGTATAATACAATTAGCCACTTTGCAGCTTTGGGGCATGACATCAAAGGAGGTATTCATTGCAGTCGTCTGAAATCATTTCTGTGAAGTACTTGATGAGCTGCCAGCTGCCTAAATTCCTTAACCTCTCTCCCATATTCATTATAAGTTTTTTATCGCAGCCTCCGTTGGAGCGCAAAGACCGGGGTGATGGGGTAAAAAGCCCGCTAAAAGGCCCCATGTGTGATCTATTGTGGATGCAGGAAAGGCGAGAGAAAGGACTGGGGGGTGAACTCACTGTTGAAATGGGTTGCTGGGGAGCTGGGGTTGCTGGGAGTGGAATCCAGGGTGTCTGAGTAGCAGCTCTCCCCCTCGGAGTCCCAGGCCGAGCAGGCGGAGGAGAGGGAGGAGGGGGAGGCCGACGAGTAGCACGGATCCTCGTCCACCTCCTCAAACTTCCTCTTGAGAAGCCCACTCATGGCGACGGCGCGGTGAGTCTGCAGGTAGCAAAAGGACAATTAGCAGATGCATTGTGCCTAATGGTGTGCAATTAAACTAAACAAGGATTTGAGCACATTAGACATTTATCAGCAAACTAAAGAGGAGAGCATGATATACATTTTCAGACCCTCAGAAAATTTCAACCAGAGTCTTAGGGTTAAAGCCGGGAAACTACATTTTGTTTTCATAAATAACAAAATATTTTTCCCACGAGAAAGTCTTGCAAAAGTCAAATGTTGTCAATAAATCATACCACATCATGCTTCATCTTAGTAGAAATCATGTTATCTTTTGGGCTGAGAGCAGTCTTTCCATTTTATATTTGTTAGAAAGTTGGGTATTCCAGCTCCAAATACCCTAGTTGTTCTTGTATCAGTTATTATTTATGAATACAAGTACCGCGCAGGTAAATTAAGTAAACAATTTCAATTTCAGGCAACCCTTGTTTTACACCATCCACTACCATAGAAATATCTGCACTCAGAAGCAGCTAACCATGGCACAGGAAACAATCAATCAGTCCCTATTCGCACAAGTCAACAATTACCGGACCCACCCTTGTGTGAATCCCATCAGCTCGGCAAATGCATTGATTAGAAAACACACCAGCTTCAACCTATAGCACCATTAGCGAAAAGCGTGTCCCTCTTAACACCCCAGTTGTAAATATATGTCCAAGACTGGTGCATAGCTGAGACGTTTTCCAATGCAGCCGCTGTACACACATTCTCCCAGAGCTCCCACGAGAGCCCACTGCTGCCTCAGCGATATGAACAATCAATCCTTTGAGCGACAGACACAGGCAGACAGGAAGAAAGCAGACAATCGCCATTTAAAAAGCCCAGCTCATATCTTTAAATCTGATTATGGCCCGTAAATTATTCCCCTCCCAACAAACGAATCAAGCTGGCATGTTCCAGGAAACAAAACATAACTTGTCAATACGTTAACGAAAAGCAGATAATATTTTCCTCATGAAGTTGGTGGTCTGAGTAAGGGGAGGCAGGGCAGACACGGCAGAACTGGGCCTAAGTCCAGCTCTGACACTCCCTACAATGATGTGTAGTGCAGCTTTTACTTTGCCCATAAAGAGATCATTTCACCATCAGACTGTTTACGGCCTACACATTTGCGGCCAAAATAAAAAAAAAATGTCTTGCAGCTGCAGTGGCGTGGGCATGGTGTGCTATTTTTCCCATATTATTTTTAGCAGTGTTTGTCCAAATATTTGCTTGGTCAACACTTATGAAATGATAAGGCTGCAGCCAACGGTGGAAACAATCTTGCATTCTCTGTGTTTTTAGACTAATTAGAGAGCGCCTCGGATAGAACTAAAATTAACTTGTTCGGAGTAAAAACACTGTGCAGACATCCAAACACGCAGCGGATACTAGGCCAGACTTCAGAGAAACTTGCTAAGATTTATGCAAGCTTTGTCTTATCAGCTACGTCAGCAAGAGTTGGAAGAGAGAGCAAGGGGAGGGGCGTGTGGGCTCCAGGTATGTGAGGATAGGGTCATCTCCTACGTGCAACCCAGGGCAATTATGCAAAGAAGTTTTCTGCCTGACAAGGATAAAGATTCAAGGGTAGGGCAGGGGCTGACACATTGGAGTGGACAGAATACAGGAGGTTATTGTTCCATGTTTCTGCTGCACTCAGATATTGTCCCCTGTGGCTGAGATACCATATGATGAATGAATCACCTTGCAATAGGTCAAGCTGCTTCATAGCAACAAACATATAGCTCGCCTTGCAACCTCCACCTTTCCGGCGAGTCAAAGCAGATTGCGGAGTCACTGGAGCGCCAAATAATCTCCAAATTGCTTTTTACACATCCGGATTATCTTGTTGAGCCTTTTGAGGAACACCTGGTCCGGCATGGGAGCTGCATCTGTTGTATCTCCAACATGTGTGTGCGTTTTTTAAAAAGTTTTTTTTTAACCGAGGCAGTTGCATGTAGAAGAATGCACAGATCACAGATTTCACTTTGCATTCTTGCCCCTGCTGTAAATTCAGCGTAAAACTGAAAACAAAGCTGAGAGCGTTCCTCGGGGGAGAGCATAGAGCCAGCTAAGCAAAGTCTTTTTAATTAAAAGCTGCAGTGAGGGAGAAGGGGGAAAGAGGAGGGGGAGATGGGGTGGCAGCGGTGTCAGAAGTGGGTCATTGTCTCCTGACTGCAGTCTACCTGACACATTGATTTGTTAATCCTGTTCAACGGGCAGAAACAATGCAGAGAGGTTAATCCTGGCATGGGGACGGCATGTAGTCAATCTGAAGGTGCTCAGTTGCTGCCTCCCCACAGAACTGGCGCCCCGAGAGCACCAGCAGTCTCAGCAGAAAAGGGCCGAGACAATTCAGCTATATGAGTCATTTGCAAAAGGGTGGAGAAGGACTTGCAGATGAAAGTAGGAACTCTTGAAGAACAGAACTGCCTGTGACTAAGAAAGGATGAGAACAGACAGGCCATTCGGAGAGGCATGGCATGTTTTTAACGCGCGCTAAATTATGCATAGCTGTCATTCCATCAAGCGCACTCAGGCGGGCTGATAAAAGGACGCATCCACACAGAGCTTCTCCCCAGCCAGTTGTCACGGAGCTGTGGAAGATAGATCACTGACGAGAAGATTTGTCACCACAAGCACTGTGCGGATCAAGTCAGATGTACAACTATGTCAATGAAATAAGATTAACTTGATACATACGCCTACAGGCTGCTAATGTGCCTGCACAATCTCAATTCATTTGTATTTGATCACGGACAGCTCTTCAAGTCCTCATTAAGCCATCAGATTAAGTGTCGTCCAAAAGGGAGCGAGGCAAACGTTTGACTTCATTATAGTTTGGAACACGTTAGACAAGTTGTTAGACAAGTGCCCAAGAAGCACCACTGTTTTTGATTTAGTGAAAATATCCGTATTTCATACTTGCACAATCTCATCATTATTGGGGTTATGCAAAGTAAAAAAAAAAAAAACCTGCCAGCATGCACCACAGTTAAATCCCAGCACTGTTCTTATGACCTTGGACAAGACATTTCATGATTTGTGCGTATAGTGTATAGTATGATTAGTGGCTAGCTGTACAAAGCACCGTCTACAGTAAGCTTACAGATTGTAAAATTTGTTTAGGCACTGCTGTCGATCAGTAGAGCGTGTTCAAGGTACTCCACACTCCAGCCTGCCAAGTCACCACTCACTTTGTCCCTTTGCTCTTTGCGTCTGACCCCCAGTGCGTAAGATAACGGCGTGCGAGGGAGCCACAAGTTGCACTAATCTTAGCCAGCTGGGAGCATTTACATGGCACGGTGACAAAGGGCTGTGCGCCGTTCAGAGCCACTGGAGTGGAGTGCTCATAAAATGTGATAATGATGAGCCTGGGAGTTCCTGGGAGCGTGCACGCACATGATCTGTACTACCTGGGTTCCAAAAGGCAGCACACTTCCTCCATTCACGTCACAGAGTCAAGGCTCAGACAGAGGACACACACACACACACACACACACACACACACACACACACACACACTCACACACTCACACACTGCCTGAGACCAGCTGAGGAGGAATATGGAGTCAGCTGTTCTCCAGTGGAGCTCCACCTACTGGTACAAAGCTGCCAGTGCCTCTGTGTGTGTGTCTATGAGCCTGTTGTTCTCACTACTGGGGTTGACTGCCACTGTGCCACGAAAACATTCTGTTCCTCTGATTCCAAAAAAGAGAGGTAGTGGGAAGGAGCAGCAGGATTGTACAAAACAAATAAATAATGTCATGTCTCCGGGCCACAGGAATCCTTTCTTGGCAGCGCCTCGCAGGCTGGAATAGTGGGAGAAGAACACAGGCTCTATCTAACCCAGATGTGTTTTCTGCTGCTAACCACTGGAAAGTCCTAGTCCCATTAAGCTGCCCAAAGCAAGCAAAGGCTCCTTTCTCCAAGCCACACCTGACAGAGTTGGAAGCCACCTCATTTGCCCCCACATCTCTTTGCAAAAAAACCTAAAATTCCATATTTCGTGAACTCTTGATATGACCATAAACTGACTGTAATTATTTGTACAAACTGTATGAAAAGAGACTAAAATGTCAGAGTTTGTGCAAAGATGCGATTCTGTCCTCTGTGGAGGAAGGGTGGAGGTTGCCTAGAGTTCAAGGGTCATGGTTCCAGTGTGGAAGAGACTTGCTGCATGGATTCTGGGAGAGGACAAAACAGATGGTGGCATATAGCTCTCCAAATGAGCCTGTGCGGACTTTACTTCCCTCCAGCACAAAAGCGATGGGGCCATCCTTTTTGCGTGACTGAAATGTAAGGGAGTACCTCGCCTGAACCCATCCTGTCCTCCCAGCTGAGGACACACAAACTCGTGCCTGAGAATGTGTGTGTGTGTGTGTGTGTGTGTGTGTGTGAGAGAGACAGAGAAACAGAGAGTGAGGGGGAGAGAAAAGGAGCAGGAAGTGGCCAAACAGATTATGGATTCCACTTCTGACAGCTGAAGGCACCACAAGGTTAACTGTGTACACAAACACGTGACAGGGCCTTAAAGACTCAAAAGGTATGCACTATCCATCATATGTATCATTTCACATTTCAGGCCCATGTCATTAATTAAATGTAGTAAGAAAGACGAATAAAACATGTAAAACATGTAAAATCTTAAAAATCTAAAATCTGTAAACAATTCCCCAAAAAGAGCCACTCATTGTGTAATCAATGGGAAACAATTTCGAAGAAGTGTAAAGGCTTTAGCTGTAAGTGCAGTGTCTGTGAACAAAGGATCAGCTCTGTTGGCTGATTCCAGAAAACATAGTTTCAGAAAGGATCCGGATGAGGTCGCACTAGAGACGCGTTCATTGAGCGCTACTGAACATACAGTGAGCTTGTGTAATATACCTGCAGCAGATAACACAATGTGGCAGCTTATGGTCACGATGAGTGAGATAAGCACTTTAAACGCTCCCATCTATGCAACAACTTTAGTGAGACGTAAATCATGACAAAGAATAATCAACATGTTGATAGAGAGACATCTGTTCAAACAATGACCGCTCTACTTTAGAAAAAGCACCTGGCTGGATTCCAATGTGCGCAAAGTAAAGCGCGTAAATCACCGTAGGGTCCACACACGCGGGAGTCCGCGGACAGAGGCCCCTGTGACCTGATCATTCCTCCTGATTAATACTAATTGTAGTGACAGCGCCGCTGTCAGCTGTAGCCTTCAGGAGTCGCTCTAGTTACAAGAGGCGCACCACAACTCCACACGGCTCCACTAAACACAAAGACCTGTGCAACACTTTACTTACAACTTACACCCAAAGAGCGCCTTCATGTCCCTCCAAACTACTTCATTAGAAACACCACAGGCTGTTAATACCAGTATCTGATCAATGAGGCATCAAGGCTGGCTGGAATCAGACAACTCGCGAATTCTCTTTACCGATGGCTAAAGTAGCACAAACTGTTAAATCCCTGCGTAAAACACGTGCCGGTGTATTTAAATGCCATAAACTATGTTCTCCGGTTCTGCCGAGAGTAAGCGCAAACATTTACTCTGTTTAAGAAGACAAACGCTAACTCTCAGTTGTTTGGAAGCTGCTTACCACCAAATGAGGTATCCTTTCACCATGAGGGACCAAATCTTGTCCGCCGAGAGGGCAATGCGATAAAGGAGCAGTAATCCAAAAGCAGCGGTAGTAGCGGTGTCTGTGGTCCACATTCACTCTACACTCAGTCTATTGTGTCCGAGAGCAGAGCTCCGCACAGCTGCAGCGCGTCTCTTGTCTGTAGCGGAGTGAGAGCAGCGCAGCCTTTTCGTCAGTGGAAAACTCCCTCTGCGTCTGCGTCTGACGCAGGCGGTGACACAAGGAGACTGCCCACGCCGCTTCCTGCCCCTGCGCTACGTGAGCCTGTCCCTGCTACCTGGAGCACACCGCACGCACAAACAAATGTCATATTAATAACATGGAACTGGATATTTATTATCTTAGTGAACATTTACAAACAGCCAATCAGGAGCTCGCTTTTCTACGGTTTACAAAGACTACCATTTACAAAGACTACAATAACACTGTATTATAATAATATGACCTCACATTAGAATGAATATATAGTATTGCATAACATTACTGTCAGGAACACACTGAGTCTCATTTCCAGTTTATTAAAACACTCACCCAAGAATTTGTCACGTCACTGGAGTCATGCAGTGGATGAAATCAGTTACAGTTTCACTGGAACAGAGATGATATGGCTGAATGAAGGTTCCATTTCGTAAAAATACATGTGGTGTATTTTCCATGTAACCAACTTTCAAATACTAATCATTGTTGTGAGAAAGTGCTAATTGACGACACAAATGATGAGGCATTATTCATGGCTATGTTGCCCCTGTTAATCCACTCAGTGTCTAATCAAGCAAATACCTAAAGCCATAAGCGATATCTTTACAATACATATATATTCAACAACAGCCATCACATAAAGTGCCCCATTTCAGTTTCACTTCTTGGCAACAAAGAGAAAACAAATCTGGTATCTCATCCCTTTATCCCCCCCAAAGAGAAAGCTCAGCAAATACCGGTCTGGTCTAGTCAGGTCTAGACTGAAACTGTCCAGAATGTTTCTCTGTGGTATGGATGACTTGTGGTTGTTTGCCTACTTAGGTGAAGGACAGTGCAACAACAAAGTAAACGGACCAAATGTTTTAATAACAGTCTAGATCATTGGTGACAATCCTCAGGCATCTATTATTATCACAGGTTTAAAAGAATTGTCACAGCAAGAAGTCAAAGTAAAATGTGTTTTGTGAAGGAGGTCTCGGACTTTGACTCCTTTTGATAATAATGTGTTGTTATAGCGTTAGATAAATAGTCAAAGGCACTTCACTTGGTAGAATTTATTCACTTTATACTCTGTGTATGAAGTAATAAACTACTACTGTGGCCGCAGCTGCCCTGGGAGCGACAGTCAGTGGCCCCTCTGACCCCCAAAAATCTTTCATGCCAAAAGATACAACAACAGTTTAGCACTTTACAGCCTCACTTGGTGTAAGGTTTTGTACAAGGCTGCGTTTCCTCCTGGTGCTCCGGTTTTTCATTACCAATAAAAACAGGTACATTGGGACTAAGAATTAAAACTCCCCTTGAGTTGAATGCTGTAGATAGATAGATAGCTAGATAGATACTTTATTGATCCCCCATAGGATAAATTCAGGTGTCCAGTATCAGCAGAACGCATCTATCCATACAAACAAACAAAACAAATAATTACATAATTCTAAAAGTAGCTAACAATAGAAATAAGGTCATAGCAGCAGAGATGGGTGTATCCTGTTGTTGTAGAAACAGTAACTTCATGATTACACAGTACCTTTCAAATACATACCATATATAATACTAATAAAATAAACATAAAATATAGTCATTTGATTCCTTTTTCTACTTCCGAGTAATTTTTCGGAACTTCTTCTTCTGACCTGTTATAGCTTTACTTGGAAACACATTACTGCTGGAATGTGTGTATGACATAAGCAAGTGCAAAGTCACACCCTTTCCAGAATTTACCAGTGAATCCGCATGTGAGCCCAGCTGGAGCCGGCTAATGTCAATACAGGTGCTTGAATCGCATATTTGGGGAGAAGTCTCTAAAGCTAAGTACGCGCGGTCATGCTAATTGTCCCGCGCTGAGAGAGGGGGTCTTTCTCAACACTGTTAAGCCTGAGGGCCCCATTTAAGACCGCGCCAATACAAGCAGGCAGCGATAGATGACTGCACTCACCCTCATTACAGCTCCTTATGACCAGAACAGCACTTTCTTTGTTCACAATACATCATATATTTGTCAATGTACTTCTAATCACTTGTCAAATTAACCAAAAATCTATTAAATGTGCAATCAGTAGCTTTCAAATGAAGCAACACACACAAGAAGCAAGTCCAAAGACGCAAACGCAAACTACAGGAGCAACCAAGAAGAAGAAAAGATACATAGTGCACTTTTTTTTTTTTTTACCATCTCCTACAAAAGACAAAGTGTAATATATTTATAATGTTTATGAAAAATTATTACTGTACTCTAGAGCAGGAAATGTATACTTGTATGTAACGATCTATTGATAAATATGTAATACATGGTGCAAGAATATTGAGCAAGTAAGTCATCAGCTCTTATGTTGATTTTATAACTTGTGAAACCTGAGAAACCAAAGGCAGACACTAAAAATTTGTAATCATAAAACTAAAACGCACTAAAAGTATCAATAAAATGTATGTAAGTTAAATTAATACAGCACTTTCCACGGAGACAGAGTCACAAGTACTTCTTAAACTGTTTAAAATACAAAAAAGTAAAATTCAACTCACAATCATATAAGGCCACAACAACATGACAATCTTAGCAGGCCCCTAAAAAACTAACCATCTCTGAGCATATAAGTTGTTCTTTTAAAAGTCTCCTCTAAGTCCCTGGAGCGCAGAGAGAGCGAACATCCTTCCAAACCCTGAAAACAACCACCTGGAAGCATCAGTCTCTGCTGGTCCGGAAACAAGGGCCTGGAACCATCAGCAGACCCTCGCCCACAGACCTCAGAGCCTGAGCGGGCGAGTAAGTCTGGACCATATCACTGATGTAAGAGCAAGTCGGACCGTGCGAGGCTGAAAAGGTTAGGACCGGAATTTTATAATCGATCCTAAAGGCCGCTGGCAGCCAATGAAGAGCGTTTAGAATAGCAACTATATATTTATTACACTACCGTATACAGTATTTTGTATGCTTCTTTATTATGCTAAAGCTAGAGATTTTATATTTGCTTCTTTATTATGCTAAGTGTGAGATTTCAATTATTTTCAGTATAGAGTTATTGTCCACTTATCTTTTACTGTGTCATCTTCATTTCGACTCTAACTGGAGACGCGACACTGAAATTTCCCCACTGTGAGACGAATAAAGGATCTCTTAATACTGTATGTGCGTCTTTATATTAGTCATCATTCTTACAGAGTATTGCACTAAAGGGGAACAATGTCAAGGGGAATGTGTGTATTTCTATGTAAACTTAATCACAATCAGTAGCAGCCTCATCAGTGGAACGTGCTCTGGGGTTTGTCTGTACAAGGTGTGTAATCCACGTCGAGCCCTCCCAATACTCCCCCATGATAGCAGCCACTGTGTCCAGACAAACTCCACCCTTTGAGCTTCCCTGTCGCCTGCCTGCAACTTTTTCCCCTTTTCTTTAACAACAACAATGGACCATCCACTGAAAGTCACATGACAAGCCCCGGTCACAGCTATTACATAGGAATTCTGCTTCTCTTCACTGCAGCGACACACGTAAGAATCCCCCCACATGAACAATTAGGCCCCTGTTTGACAAGTTCCACAAGAGCCCAGAGACAGTGCTCCCTCTACTGCTGCTGTGGTCTGAGCTTTGGAGTTTAATTATAGTGGATGTGTTGGCAAACAGCAGATCAGCCGAGTGCAGGTCCCACTAAAATTATGCTAGAAGTAAATGCTGACCGTGAAAGAATTCAAACATATGAGATTCAATGTCATGTAATGTAAGGCAGATATTTGGGGAGTGGGTGTGTGATACAGTATCTACATTGTTTGAGAAGTTACACACTTTGGAAGTTGCTTAAGTATTTGTTGTGATAGAATAGGTAGCATTCATGTTGTAGAATTCTATTTCAGTAGAAGGGCAGGTGCCAGTAGGGGAAAGAAATATTTTCCCAGATTATTATTTGATAGTGATTAAACATACTGACATACTGACCAGTGGCATGTATATATATATAAATGATTGGCATCTTGGGCACTTTGTTGCCACCTCGACACTTTTATGATACAGTTATTAAACCATAGTTGATATGTACAGGCAAGGAAGATGAGAACTTCGTGAAAGTTAATGTTACATGGATTGGCCCATTTCTCAACACAAGGATTACAGAGAAATTTGCTCTAAAATAAGACTAGAAGTTTCACTGATAGCATATTAGTTACGCAAAGATTTTTCAGCTGCCCTCCTCCACAATTTTAGACAATAGGCTCTTTGGAATGCCGTGATGTCACATAATCACCACCTATGGAAAATGTTGAATGATTAGAACCGTTTATAATAGTTGGAAAGCACATCCGATCTTGTATTAATAAACAGGAGACAAGCTCAGCACACTTGTTCAGACTGACTTCTCAGAATTGTAATTTGGGTGAGAGTTCTGGACTAAGGGGGGGATGGTGGCTCCAGCGCCCAAGCCACGGCTGAATCAAGCCTGCATACATTAGGGCCACTCTCTTTAAAAGTGTGCCAAAGAGTTCACAGTGGAAGACGCCCCTCCAACAGCACAATAATGGCCGTCAATGCGTTCCATCTGCGGGAAGAGAAAAAAGGCCTGTGACTGCACGTGCGGCGCTGGAGTGGCTCAACAATGTGTCAATTTATGGCCATGACTACACAAGGAATATCTGGATTTAGAAACATATTTTGGTCCATGCAAAACTAAAACTGGCATTGTATAGACATATCAAGTGGAAAAGCAAAGGATGGAAGTGGAAAGCTAAGAGGAGTAAAATGTCTATGCTAATTATATCTCAAAAATAAGTTTGTGATTGCTTTTGTTAGGTGTTGATATGATAAAACATCTTAGAAATAGTAGATATATATATGGGAAGGTAGATTTCTGAAATGGTAAAGTTGCAGAAGTAATTGTACATCTGCATCAAATTGGCAGCTATGCAAAATAATAGGGATATTTATTTAGTTATTTCAATTGTAGATATGACAATACATCACAAGAATTGTAGTCTTGTCACACAAATGAAAAGGAGCAGAAAGATTTAAAAAAGAAAAAAAAACAAATCTTAGAAAAATGTTGCCTAACCCTTTCTTAAAACATGTACAAATAATGCATTAAAACAAAGTGAAATCTATAATTCTGAATAGGTGATCACTGTTTTCAAAGTCCATGAAGTTCCATCGAGAAGCACCCATGATTTACTTACATATTTTCCTCCGTGCAAAACTAAAATGCCTGGTTGCAAATGACAAGTTGATAAAGTCATGCTGATAGCAATTAATCTTGAAAACACACTCCCCCATGGGAAAACTGGTATTTTGGCCAGATTTCAATACATTTGTTATCTCCTGTAGAATAGTAATAACAGAAACTTCTCTTCTGACCCTGATCAGAAGTCTCCATCCCCCAGTTCTCAGTGTGTATCGCCCCTTTAACATCTATGACAGCTTGGCGTCTTTTGTTATAGTTGTGGATGAGGTTCTTTATCTTCTCTGATGGTAAAGCTGCCCATTGTTCTAAGTAAAACCCTTCCAGTTCCTGTAAATTCCTGTGCCGCCTTGCATGAAAAATTGGATCAAATATGTTCTATAATTTGGAAATAGAAAACATGTTTAGTTGACAATATATGGATTCATACAACCAGTGGACACGGATGGAAAACAAATACATCTATGCCGGGGTGTGTAAACGTTCCAGCACAACTATAGATCTCAAAAATAAGTTTGAGATAGCTTTTAATAGTGAAACAGGTGAAAACCATAATTCTAAATAGGTGACCACTGTTGACAAATCCAACTACTCCATAAATAAGCTCCAATGATTTAAAGAGTGTATGCGGTGTCAACGTGTCCACTAAGATTTAATAGCCTTCTCAAGGGGCCCTGAAATAAAGTCCAAAGAGAAATGTTGGTGTTTGGAAGTGTCCCCCGGAGGAGCTAGGGAGAAGACTAGGCCAGAGTTGTTGTGGTCAAAGCCGGCCCGCGCACACCGGGGCTTTGGGGGCGTGATTGATGGCTGCAGCTGTCCCAGAGGAGAGGAACACAGGCAGACAGCTGGTCACCTGTAGCCCCAGACATGGCATTGTGTTTCACTGCAGAGGGCAACCAGTGCAATGCACACTTCATCACAGGGCAGACAACCGACCTGAAATGGGTCACTAGAGATAATTTATGGCGATAGCAGCAAAGGAATGACTGAAGCAATTTCTTTGTTTGTATATTGAGAAAGAATTGAAATGTGGAAATGCGGTTTGAACTCGGAATTAACTTATTATATAAAGCAGGCCACACTATAGTAGGGCTGTAAGCAAGTAGGTATAGGTATAGTTTATCTGATTGTTGTGACTCTCCAATGCATGAAAACAGATGTTATTTTTAACCTGACATAAGAATAGCTTGCATTACTTCACACCTTTTATCGTATAACAGATTGTAATGACCAGAGCACCCACATATGGCCGTGTGCTGTGTAATTACTGTTTTGACAATGAGCGAATGAAAGAGACAAGGCTGAGATGAGCTCACTGGGCACAGGGATTAATCCAGAAGCAGGAGGGAAAAGAAAAAAAAAAATCAGGCACGCACACCTCCCCCATCTGAGCAGCAGCCAATCAGCAAACAGAAGAGCTGGTTTACTTGAAGACTAAAGAATCTGTGTGTAGTGATATGACATCACACCTTTCCACTCATTTTTACTATACAGTTTTCTCAACACTGCGAGCCTGGCATTTAATAGACACTGTAGTGAATATTGTGCATATGCTCTAAATCCCCCAGATCCAAAAATAAATCTATGAACTTGCAAGTCTTCACTGCAACAAATGGGTAGTGTCTTGCGTGTGTACAGTATACAGTCGTGCTTAGTTCTATGCGTCTTTGGCTTTGGGGGAAGAGATGCTTTGTTTACTTGGCAGCGTCCCACAGCTGTCTGAGTAATGCATTCTGGATTGTCTCTCTCAGGACATTTGTGCTATGTTTTATTCATTGGTCTGATGTGTTATAAACTTCCTTTTGTCATAATATTATTGATTAGTTGATAGACTATTAAAAGATTGGAGCATGCGGGTCTGTGCAAAAACAACCTTGTAGCTAATAATTATGTCCTTTAATGGCAACTGCTTGAATTTGAAATAGGGTCGATAGACATTAGGTGAGTTTGTACAATCTAGAATGTGCTGTTTTTATAGTGAGATGCGCATAATTTTTCTTGGCTTAGATTTTATGAAGTTACAACAAATAGTATAACGGATATGCGGTCAATATTTGGGATCGTTATGGTTTATGGGGCTCTCATAACTGCTGGGCCAGACAGACTCATTCCATTTTTATAGCAATGGGAGTTTTGTTCATTCAGCTGAACAGCTTAATCACTTATTAGATTTACGTATGAAATAGCATATTCAAATAAAATGCACCATCATCACCGGGATTTGTTCACTGCTGGATTGGCGCCAGGATATTAGCTGAGAGCAAGTCAGTAAGGAATATTTATTTTTGCAGTTTTCACAGACCAGGGTCACACAAAGTACTTGGTACATTTGGTGTATTTCCTATTAATTAGGCAAATCACTGAAAGATGTAGTAACAACCTGCTTGTGTTGATGGGGATAGATAAGTCAATGTCCAACTACAACTTCAGACTTTGTGGGATACAAGGCAAAAATATCCTTACCAGGCATTATATTGACATGACTCTCCTTTAAGCTAAAATACTAATAATGTTATTACTAATGCATCTTTGGCCCTTGTCTTGAGTCTTGCACACAGTGGTGGCAAACAACTACTGTAGCTGCCGTTGCCTTGGGATAGACTGATGGAAGCAAGGCTGATAATCTGTGCCATTGGTCCTGCAACCACCAACAATCAATCACGCACACACCAGACTCGTAATTTTTAGGCGCACCTGATTATAAGGTGCATTCATTCATTTATTTCTAAACAAAGGCACGATGCAGTATGAATGTTGATACTGAGGGCGCACCAGAATATAAAATACAATCTTTTATGTGAACCTAATAGTGCGAAAATATCATGGATAAATAAGAGTTAAATGAAATCTGACTTGACACTTCTACTATCTAATTGAAAGAAGCAGGAGCAATGTCTGAATAGAAAGAAATGAGTCAAAAGGATGATTCTCATCCTAAAGCTGCAGTACCGAACATGCTGTCTTAATCTAATCAGAAGACATTGCATCTTTTACATACAGAAAGCTGAATGAGTGCTTTTGATTTTCACATTCAAAGCTGATCTAAATATATGACAGAGACCAAAACTAGTTACATGGATTTCATTAGAAAGTTATTTGTTGTGGTTTCAAAGTGAGTTGCTACAGCTTCAATGTTTAGCTCTTGTCTTTATGTATTTAAATGTTATCTTTGGGAGCAAGTGATTTTCATATTTAGTGAGTCCAGGTTATGAAAGCCTGACAGAAGGCATGGCAGCGGCACCACGGAATATTAATAGGCTGAATCAGTTATGTCAGTAATTTGAGTCTCTTGTGCATCTGCCGCTGTGATGTTTACACGTCACCAGAGACACTGAGAAATCAGATACTCTTCGGGTTATCAGCGAGTGACACTGGAATTGATCATATCCAATTCAAATGACTGAGCTAACCTATAATTCTCAAATGGGCCACTTCATCACCGCTCACCCAGTCAGATCCTTGTGCTCCTCTAAGCTGCCATCACACCTCCCTCAACAGCCGTGAAGCTCCTGTCAGCACATAGGTCGAGGTGCTACTGGGACACTCCACCAAGAATTACTGCGACTGATGGCTGCCCGCATCGCGCAAAAATCAATATCTGGCAAGGCTTGTTTTACGGCGACATAACTGTAGGAAAGAGATGTTATGGAGCAGAGCACACAAGGATATTAGTGGTGCTTTAGGGCCAGACAGCAAAAAAACAAAAGGCCTGATGAAGCTCATTTTCCTCCGACTGCAGCACTTCCTGGCTTGAGTGTTTACATGAAATACACGTGCTTTCATAGAAGAGAGCACCGGAATCATGGCTGCGGTGCACTGACACTGATGGAAATGTGATAACGCTAAGTTTTTACATCATGGTGTGAATTGGCTGTTGTACTATTCTGTTTCAGATCCCTGCCAATCATTTAAAAGTGCAAGCTGACATTAAATATGTTCAAAGCATGAAGTGTGCTAAAAAACTGTTGCTCCCAAACCAGTCTGACCACTCTAGTCCCAGTCTACATGTTGGGTGGCTGTGGGTGGGGGCGTTATTGGATTGATCAGATGGAGCCTTGTGAAGCTTTTCAAAAATGTAATGTCACTTTTACTCAACTTTCAATCCTTTGGCAAATGTAGTCATCATCTGTACTTTGAGTATTTGGTTTTCACACAGGCAGAAGCACAATTTCGTCAAAGTAATTAAACGCACCACGTTCTCTGCTTCTGTCTCACATAGCAAAAGCAAAAAAGCACATGCAGCGAGGGATGTGCTTTGAAAATTTTTCAAAAGGAGTCCAAATACATACATTTTTACATAAGCATGGTTTTTCCCTGTGCTCTTAAATACACCCGCTGGCCTTGTCTCAGTATTATCCAGTTTATGTACCTGCCGCCTTAAACAGAGCACTATTGGTTTGATCCTGTTCTTCGCACCTCAAGTTGGCGCACCTTTTATTTGCGTAATCAACTGAATCAAATTGTACAAGGAAACTTTGTAAACTTACTCATTGAATTTGTTTTTCATTCACAAAAGAATCCTTTAAAAAAAAGTCTTTGTCAGTGTTGTAATTTGACCACAACAAAACATGCATAAGGATGGTACTGCCCTTTTCCACTGCGTTTACAGGAATACTTGTATACCTTGATGATAGAAAGTGATAGCATTTACAGCTCATTGCCAAACAACAGCAATGCCACTCCTAACGTAATGGAAGTCCCAGCCCAACGTCACGCTCTCTCGCTGACACAAGCAGGCGGAAATCACACACAGCCACAATTCCACTCACAAAACAGATACTTCCTCCTTTTTTGTTCTTGCCGTCTGCTTCACTAGCTCATAGTGTATAGAGTATTATATATGCAGACAATAAAAGGTGATATGTGGAGACAAGACCGGGCCGAGAAATAGTAGAAACATGATGCTAGATTTAAAAAAAAGAAAAAAAGAATAGAGCCGAGGACATAGACCTCTTGAGACTTGCATAAATCATACGTGAAGGGCTGTAAATGTTTTGTTTGCCACGACTATTGCTAATTTCACAATTAATAACTGGTTTGATGTTACGCTATTCTTTGTAATTGTGTTGTGTTGTGTGAGATACTATGTTCCAAACGTCTCTAGTGGATACAAAAAGTGTGTCAAAGTTTGTTCAGCTATATATATATTTTTGAGCCATTTTTCTGGGATTCTGTTTTTTTGTTCCATGCATAAAAACAAGATAAATAATGTAGTGACTGGATTCTAGATTTTCTAAGCTTTAAAAGTATATATGGCTATAATGGTGGAGCTAAATTTGGCTATGAACTTGGGATTAATATCTCAATAGTTTCAGGCTAGCGTTAGCAGGAGTGGCACTGATTTTTCTTTTACAGATATCAACTATAGAAGCGTGAATTATAATACTATAGTTTAACTCTGGAAAACAAAGAGGAAAAGGTCCGAGGTACTCTGACTTAAAATAAAAAGTATTGTGGGTTCATTGTGATGTGTTAACCCATCTCTTCATCAAGGCAAGAGGCAATAATTTAACTCTGCATTCTGAACTTTCAAAATTTAAACACACTTATCTTGTCGGAGATGGAGTTGGTAGCTGAGTAGAGTAATCTGCAAAATCTGTGAAATCTCTGCCTATTACCGATGTCTCTTGAGATTCACAAATCGTCTAATTTAATCAGAAAACCCATAAATTGGTCAGTCCTTACTTAATATTCTATCTAATCTAAGTAGACACACTTTTGCATTGACTCCTATGCGGCTTATTCTTTCTACCCATTTATTCATACATCCCTCCAGCCAGGGGATCCAATTGAGAAAAGCTAACCACTCTGCCATGCAGCACCAATTTTCCTCACGGCAAATGGCAGTGGACTTTTAAATACTGTTAAAACGCT